TGCTGGGCTTGAATGTCAGGAAGGTGGACGACGCGGAAGTGAACATGACAGCGGGCAGCGAGTCTGTCATGCTGCTGTCGGGAGCGGGTGTGTCGGAGTCGTCAGTGGTCGTTGGCTCGAACTCCTCGAGGATGAGAGCGTCACGGTTGCCTTGTGACGGCACATTGGATTCGCCTGTGGCCAGTCGCCGGCGCACATCGTCCATCTGTCGCTCGAGGAGGCGCATAAATGCGTCGCGCTTCTCTTCGCCCCAGAACTCGAAGAAGAGTTCTTCGTGACCCTTGATGATGACAACGACACCGTGGTGTCCGAAGCGAGTGCCCTTGGACTTCTCCGTGGCTAAAATGTCGCGGATAGGGATGGCCATCTGCGGGGGCGGTCAATATGGGCTTGAGTTTTTTCAAACAATCCACTGACCCTTGTACGCGTTGCCAATGGCCCGCTCGACTTGAAGCAGAAGAAGTTGGTAGAAACATATAACCGACCATTGATGGGTAGCAGCCGGAAGAGAAACCCGGGAAAGTCTTGACTTTGTCAGCAAGCATATTATGCCAATTTCGAACGTGGTACTTACAACCCAGCAGCATCTCCTTGTTATCATATGCGAACGCGGCGCGGAATTTCTCCGTCGTCTCCGTGTCCAGCATCAGCTCCGGTGTCTCAAGCACACTGAACGCCATATCGCCCGTCGAGCCCGACCCCGTTGTGTTCGGCGTCGTCTGCGGCGGGGTATACATCTCCTTCACCTGAGGGACACTCCCGCCAAATACCCGCTTTCCCTTGAACCACGACGGAACACCCACACCCCAGCTACTGCCTGAGTTCGCGCTATGCAGGGGAGAGTCAGGCGCGGTAGACGGGAACGAAGTGGACGGCGGGTACGTGTGCTCAATGGTCGACTGCGTCGGCGTCGCGGCCTTTGACGAGTCGTCCAGCTCGCTGTTCATTTGCTTGGGTGAGGACGTAATTGGGATGAACGAGTTCGGCCGGCGGGATATGTGCGTGAATTCCTCGTTGTCAGAAGTGTCCGGCAATCCGGCCCTGTCTGGCGTGGGCGGCTGCGATGTGCGGAACAGAGAGGGTAGGCGGAAGGCCGACACGGCCCGCGAGGGTAGCTCGGCGGCCGGTGCACTGACAGCGCGCTCTATGCTTTGGGGCAACGGCGTGCGGGTTGCAGCTGTCGTGTCCATGACAGAATATGGGTTGGCTGGCTCGGGAAGGCTGCGGTACGTGCGCACGGCATCGCGAATCTGGTCGAGCGCGAGGGGCATATCATGGAAGTAGGCGAAGAAGTATGAGTCGATGGAAAAACTGTCGTCCTTGTCGACCACTTTGACTTCGATCGTGTCGCTAAAGTCCATCGCAGAGGACTTCTCGACGTCGAGGATAGCCGAGTACGGGATGGCAATCTATGAAAGGTAAGCAATCGTCCGAGATCCACAGACGCAAACCTTACCTTCACGCTGTCTCCCATGTTCTGCGCCTTGAAGATGACCTTCCGTACAGCTTTGACCCATTCGTCGCGACTCGGCACAGAGTCAGCAGACAGCGAGACCGACTTCTGATTCGTCCGCAGGCGAAACTCTTTCTCGCCAAAGGGTTCGCACGAGACCGCATATCGTAAGTCGACAATGCCATGGGGGAAGTAGGGGTCCTGTACATGTATTAGAAGGCTATGCGGCGGAGCGACATTTACTCAGCACTCACCGATGATGAATTGTACCAAGACAATGCATCATTCTTGAGGACAAACCAGTGCTTGATCCACCGTTTGGTGCGCTGAGCTTTCTTTGTCAGAGAGCCACTCTTCAGCACTTGATCCTGCGTGGTTTGTCAACACGGAGGTAAACGCAGACCTCGAGACGGCTTACCTCTCGTGAAGGCATATGTGCGAAAAAGCAGAGATACGAGTTTGTCAAGTACATATAGCCCTGTAGCACTGATGAAGGATAAGCTAGTGTCAGCGACGTACGATGGGCATACTCACAAACAGAGCGCAGTAGCCAGCACGGCATCTCTGCGCATACTTCGTCGATGCCTTCCAGTTCGAAGACTTCCTTGAGCTTGCTAGCGAGACGGTTCCGTCTCTGGAGCCTGACGGTGGCCATACTGCCTGTCCGCGATACGGCAGTCCGAACTGTCGATTGGTCGCTCGCCTTCCTGCTAGACGCTAGCATGCGGGTATCAATGCGGGGTGGCGGCGCATGCGATAGGCGCGGCGTGGTCTCCTCAAAGTCTTCACCCTCGCCCTCATCTTCCGTGATAGTGTCGGTCTCGCCATCATGCGGAGTATAATCGGGCAGGGAGCCCCGATGCTGCAGAGGGGGTGTGGTGAGACGCCGCGAACGCGCCACGGGGCGGTGGATGGTGTGGATGGACGACGCGAGCGGTAGGTCTTCTCATCAATGTGATTAGCGCCCGTTTTCACATGCAATTATGGCCGATAGCCGCATATACCTTCGTGACTGGTGTCCTCGTCTTCGCTGGCGGCGCTGGGCGGGTGCGAGTCATCGTCCCCGTCAGCATCCTCGGCCCAAGGAACGGATTGCAGAGCTTGGATGAGAGTCTGGGTACCGAGGCGCATCTGTTGTGCGGCGTAAGGCAATGGGGGGCTTGAGAAGCTGAGAGACGCACAGATCCATCCCCGAGGAAGGAGGTCAATGATTTGTGGATGACTGAGCGAGGGGGCCCGCCTGGCGAGGGTGGACGTATGAATGGGGAATCATCAGGCGCGGCAGCAGGTGTCGATGGCACTGATCTATTAGCGGAGCTCGAGATGCTCGAGCGCGAGCTGTTGGGGGCGCTAGAGCCTGGGATTCGTGTGTGAGTGTGATCTTGAATCCTGGACGGGATGGCTCACCATCGTCGCCCGCGGACTTGCGACTCTTCCTGTTCAGACTGAACAATCTCCTGCTACCACTCCCGCTGGGCGCGCGCGCCTTGCCGCTGAGACTCCTCCCAAGCCTGTCGACAGCATCAGAGATGCGGAGACGATGGCGGCTGGAGGACAGGTCGTCCTGATCCTCCGTGGCGGACCCTTCGAGGCCAAGCGCTTGTGGTGAAGTCTCGACCGTCGGGGCGACGGAGGGATCGTGCAGGGTCTGCTGCAGAGGCACAATGTTGCTTGTCTTTGACGGCACCGACATCGTTCTCGTCGTCGTCTTCGTCTTCGTCGCGGTCAACGGCGGAGCAGACAAGCAGGCTTGAGGCGCTCGGAGCCGCGCGCGCCTCTTGCCTCGGCCGTTGCCGGTGTGCCGTCATGCACGCTTAGTCACGCAACACGTGCGTGGTGGAAGCTGCGCGCGCCTCGTGTTCGCCGTGCGTTTTTGTTCATGTTCTCATAAGACGACGCGTCGGGCACGACTGGCAGTCTCTCCACGCTTTCCTCTTACGATCCCCCATCTCACGAACTCACGCAAATAATCCCCTGACATGCGCGGTGAAGTCTGTGTCGGCTTCGGCTTCGTGCTCTCGTCAGTCTGCCCTCGCCTCCCCGCACGCCCATCCTAGTATTGATCCCGATCCCTCTACAGAGCAGCCTCCTTAGGACTGCTTATCGCAACTCATGTGAGCAATCTGACTACGCTCCGCGATTACACGCTAATCATGCCCGACAGGTTGGTCAAACGAACACTAGCAAAGGCGTAAACAAGATTTACATGGTAAAGTGCCGCGCCTCGCTGGCGACCAGGCAGCGCGTTGACCACCCTACGTCCGCAGGCACAACTTAATACCTCTGGCTATGCGTGCGTGGTGTGCTATGCTGGCTCTGTACGTTTACTGACATCGTTTACAGAGATACGCTTGAAGTCGCGTTGTTAGACCCCGTCGATGACTTATACACGTCCAACGCATCCGCCCCCCTCGGAGAGCAGCAGGGTCTGCGAGAGCTGTATCGCTGGGGACTCTACTCCTATGGTGGCTTCATCGGCATAGAGAATGGCACCACGAACAATGGCACCATCTCCAACGAAACTGCAGGCTACCAGTACCGTCCGTACGATGCCTTGCTCAACGACATGCCGGAGCGATATCGTGTCATCACGGACGCTATCATCACTGACATGGCGTTCACCGACTCGAGCTACCTCGGTTCCATGACGAAGGCGGCGTATTGGATGCTCCTGCTCGCCACGATCACGACCTTCCTCGCCATGTTGAGGTTTGTTTCTTTGCTCTAGCTAAATCGTCGTCTGCTGACATGCATTTTCAGTGGTGTCATCAAGCATAACTACCTCTTCTTCGTCTCTACGGCAATGTCCATCATTAGCACGCTGCTGCTGCTCATCGGGTGCACCGTCTACACTGTCGCGGTCAAGAAGTCGCAGGTCATCAACAGCTTCACCATCCAGAGCCAGTCAACAGGACAGGATACACCACTGGGCATAACTGTCGATGTGGGACAAGGCATCTACCAGATCTGGGCTGCCTTTGCCCTGACGTTCGTTTCCATCATGCCCTACATGATCAGGTGAGTGTCGGGGTCCCAGTTTCTGCGCTCCCTCTCACAATACTGCACAGCTGCTGCACGTACCGAGGTTGAAGGACTCCAAGATGCCGGACATCCTCTCTCACGACCCCTTATTAGAACGACACGCAACAATAATGAATGCTTCATCTGTACTGTAGTATATTTACCCTGCCACCCTCATAGACTTTCGTCTGGATGCTACCGTCTCGACGTACGGTAAGTCACCTGTATTATTTGCATCCTCTTATGATCTTTCATACGCTAAGTACGAAGACACAGCCGCGACACCTACCGCTTCGTATTACTTGAATCCCACCTTATTATCGGACTCTTTCTACGCTGGATGGCGGCAATCTACGTCCAGAGGTTTCGCCTGAGCAACTACATCGAGATTCAAGCGGGAATATCTGACCAGGTCTCCGGCGTGGACTCCACTGCTAGCGCTCAGCGCTCAACGTCAACCCTTGATATTGCGCGGGGAGGGAGCGTCCGTCCTGCTCTTCGTCGTTGCATGAGGCAAAAATGTAGTAGCCCACCGCGAGGGTCGAACTCGCAGCCTTCAGATGTCGCCTGGCCATTTCAGACCGTGTAAGAGTCTGACGCTCTATCCGATTGAGCTAGGCGGGCGGTGAAAGACAGTAAACAAGCGTTTTTATGGCCGTCCAAAACAACGAAAATCATGCGCCTGCGATATGTCGTTCAAGCTTCAAGCTTCTAGTTCCATGCGCCATAAGTAGCCCAACGTGTCTGTCAAAATTTCGAATAGTGTACTTGATTTCCTGTGTAGGCTAGTACTGTTGAACCTAAGGCTATGTCTGGTCGTGCGATCACCGGAAAGACACTGGTCATTGGGCTGGCCATGCGCCCGAGCCTGCGGAAGCGGGGGCTGAAGGCCTCGGGAACTGCGCCAATAGCGCTGAGCGCTCGCGCGTCAGACGGCGCTCACTGTCCGCAGGCAGACTGCGGATGGCTATCGAGGCCAGGTGATGGCAGGCGTCGCAGCGTCGACAACGTCGCCCTCGACGAGCTCGAGTCCGGTTCGAGTGTCGGGCGTCTCCGAGGGCAGTTCGGCCGGTGCGAGACGTCGGGCCACGGTCGTGCGTGCTGTCACGGGCAATTGTCAGGGGAACAGGCCTGAAATAGATGCGCAGCAGGGACGAGTGACGGCGTGACGTGTCGGGCTATCGCTCCTTCCTTCCTGCCATCACCATCCTCGCCAGTGCCCAGTCCAGAAACTTAAAGCGCACCCCCAGCCCGCTTGCCAGCCATGTCCAGCCAGCACTCCAACCCCTTCGACGCCTTCGACAGCGGCTTCGCAAAGCAGCAGCAGCCAGGCTTTGACTTCTTTTCATTCCAGTCCGCCGCAGACATTCTCGCGCCCCACCCGGACCTGTTTGAGCTCGAACTAGACTCGAGTCTCGCAGGCGTCAACGAGGTCCAGCTGCAGCTCCTCGCCGTCGACTCCAACGACGCCTTCAATATCCTCAGATCGGACACCCCCACGTGCGGGCCGCCCTCCGCCATAACAGTCTCCTCCGAGTCTGGTTATGACTCCCGCTCGGAGTCCGCCTACTACGGTACCCAGTCCGCATACGAATCCCCGCACTCCACCTACGGGACCTCATCCAACTACTCCTTCCGTACCGACCACTCCCTCGAGTACGACCAGCGCATGCAAGTCGACGCCATGTCCGAGTACACCGGTGCACAAATGCATGCCAATTCGGGCACAATGGATCCCTCTGCGTCATTTGCTGCGCTCCCCAGCGGTGCGCAGCGCGGGCCCGGGGGTCAGCTGGAGAGACGCTATGCCAAGGGGTTCGAGACGCGTACCAGCTTCTCCGACTACGGCTCGCCTCGCCGCAGCAGCATGCACGCCGACTACTATGCTCAGCAGCAGCTAGCATATAACGGCGCGGGTCATGCCATCTCGCCGACGAACCTATCCGCGCAACTCCCCGTCGTGCCACAAATTCCTATGCTTCACCAGCACGAAGAGATGGGCGATCGCAACGACCCACGCAAGAAGTACAAGTGCCCCGCTTGCCCTCGAAGTACGTTGCATGCTCTTCATTGTTTGACAGCTTGCTAATAACCTTCCGACAGGCTTTGCACGCGCTTACAACCTGAAGACGCACATGGCGACGCACGACCCGAACAGGCTGAAGCCCCATGTCTGCCCCCACCACAACTGTGGGCGCTCTTTCAGTCGGAAGCACGACCTAGGCCGCCATCTAGTATCTATCCATCGCCAAAGTGGTAGCGATGGCCCGAGCGCCGTGGTCAAAAAAGCCATCGGCGTGGACAAGGGTCCCCGGGGCTGGTGCGATGATTGCGGGAAGGGCTGGGTGGGCACCGCGGTCGCCTGCGAGTGCCACGACGACGCCAAGTGATCGCTGAGTCACATTGTCCGCCGCAATTCAACCTACTGTGAGTCAACCGCCCGCCTCAGCCGCAGCCTTTCGCTGATTTCGCCCGCAGCAACCCCCCACCTTCCTTTGGCTGTGTCTCGCTGACCCCGTATTGCCTATGCATCCTTGTGACGATTGTCATGCGATATCACGCCAAGGCGTCGCTCGTGAGTTTCGTACCGTACCGCTTTGTCTAGATGACATGGCCCCGCGACGGACGAGACCCGAGACGAATATGTATTACCCTACCTCTACCTATTATTATGTGGTGGTTAGGTTCTCTTTCTATGGATGTCTATATCTATATAAGTATTATTGCAGTACTTCCACGCTCCTTGCATCGTTCTCTCTCCTCCTCTCATCCTTCTCTTTCCTCCTCATCTATCATCATCTATGTTTACGTGTCCGTTTCTCGAATATTGAATCCCGAATGCCACTCCTCTGACGTTCTGAAATGTGAAGCTCAGAAGCTAAGGCTCGAAGGCGACCGCGCAACGGGGTTGCACAGCAAACAAATAGAAACATTCGGATTTCTAAGTACAGAACACGGAGAGCAAAAGTGAGTTGTACAAATGATACGATAGCAAGACAGTAGGAAATCCGAGTTAGAAAAGAAAGGATGGAGGTAGGTTAGGCTATAATGAAGACTTGAATGTACGGCGTATGTGCCGGGCGGTGCGACTTCCAGCAGGCAGTCGCTTAGATAGAGGTGAGTCCATCAACGCAGGACGCCGCGCGGAAAGAGAAGTACAACAAGCAGGAGGGCCGGCGCCTCGTGAGCTCGGGCAGGTAGGCGAGAGGTAGGGACGAGGGAGGGGTGCGCGGATCGACAGGGAGAACAATACAACGTCGTGTGGGGGCAGTATGTACAGGCAGCTAGCGCTCGCCCTGCATGCGAAGCACCACATTTACACAGCGAAGAGGCACGGAGGAGGCGGACCTGGGCTATTGCCGAGGATCGTAGTTACCGAGGCCAAAGAAGTCCACCGCGCCGTGCGCGGGCTGCTGCCACTGCACGTTCTCCCATTGCTGCAGCGCGGATCAGCACACGGACACCACACACGAGAAGGAAAGAAGGGAAGAAGTAACGCACCGGCATCGGCTGGGGCAGCCCCATGTAGATCGAATTAAGGTAGGACGTCGGGTCGAAGTCCGTGGCGGGAAAGCCGCCCGCGTGAGGCGGTGGCGCGGGCCCATGGCTGTGATACTCGTACGCGGGCGGCTGCTGCTCCGCGTAGCCATACACCGGCTCCGGGATGGGCGGCATGCCGTAGTGCGGATCGAGCCGCACCGAGGACACGGGCATGAGCCCCTCCGGCGCGTGCAGGTCGTGCGGCGAGCGGTGCGCGAGGCGTGCGTCGCGCGCAGGAAGCTGCTCCTCTGGGATCGGCACCTCATGCACAGGTGGCCCGTCGTGCCCCACGCGCGAGAGGTTCGTTTGGGAGGAGCGGCGCGAGGACGGGGTGGACCCATGGTGGTCCATATAGTTGCGTAGGGCGATGACGGAGCGGCGGATGCCGGGTACGTCGGTCTCGCAGCCGATGGCGAGGACCTTGAGCGTGAGCTCTAGGCGGTAGCGCGCGGCGGCGGCGACCTGCGGGCTCGAGTTCGATATGAGGCCCATGTCGATAGTGGCGGAGCAGAAGGCAGCGTAGATCGTCAGGTAGATGACGCGGTTGAGCGGGTAGGCCCTTTCGTGGAGGCTCAGGAGCAGGTGTATAGCCTGCGCGGCCTTGTGGCAAGCGGGTATCGTCCAAGGAAGCGCCGAGGTACTGGCGTCCTCTTGATAGAAGGGCCGGTAGAGTAGAATTAGGGTGGTGTGGATGAGCAGGCTGAAGTGCATGCAAGTCAGCAAGTGCAGGGATGATGTACCCGATCGGACTTACTTGAACTGTAAGATATGTGGAGGCGGTGACACCGCTGGAGGTTTCTCTGGGTTGACGTATACAGTGTCCGGGACTTGAGCTTGCCAGGCAGTCATCCGGTCCTTGAGATCTAGGACGAACTCGCGCATTTGCGTTGGACGTTGATCCTGTGACAGTGATCAATGATGCGCAACCAAGTCAGCTTTCGGGAACAAACCTTGTGCTCATAAATATTCTCTATGACCTCGTCCAAAAACTGCAGATGTCAGCGACATGCTCGGCGCACGCAAGGGATGTAATACCTGATATACAGTACAAGTGCTGAGACAGCGACATCAGCAAACGAACAACGGTACGTTGGAAAGGAACACACTGGTAGAAACAGGTCATCTCCCAGCTCGTCCGGGGAGGTTGTTGTATTTGGTGTTGTGCTGACCAGTCGCCCAATTGGGACGGAGACCAGAAGGGAGACCACTGCGCCTGCTCCGAATCCTGAACTGTAGAGAAATGAGTTTATTCGACATGGTTTTGCAGACGAGAAGTCCTTACTAGAGAAGTTCGGAGGATTCACTTTAGTCCTGAGTGAGGGCTTGCGACTCAATGATAGTGACAATGATCTATTCTGCGTAAGCAAACAGATCAAGGGCTTGTAGAGGTACTCACTTGTCCCATATGTAGGCAGACCAGTAAATACGCTGACGCGCGAACCGCTCTGCTTGATCCATCTCGTTGTCATAAACTACAGTATGCGAACTGTCGGCATCACAGCCCATGTCTTTGTGGGGGGTTAGCTACGAGTGTTGATCGTGTCATAAAGCTTCGCACCGTTGAATATGCGTATTGCAAGTCCCGCCATGTTCCAAGCCTGCGAATACCATCCAGTCGCGGCGAGGTTCGCCGAGAGCAATAGACAGCCTGAAAGAAGGGTCAGCATCTTGAGTGCGATGAAGCTAGAAGCCGTACCATACACCGTTGCGAAGCAACTGGGCTTACAAAGTTCTGCGGCCAACAGCACGTGCGCCTTCATCTATGCTTCTGGTCAGCCAATCTACATACGGGCGTCGCATGGATAGTCGCGTACCGCAAAATCAGCTACCCGTTCCTTCATTTCCGGAAGACATCGACAGGCCCCAGAGAACAGTGCGTAAAGCATGAATTCTGAGTAAAAGCGTTGGTCTCCGGATCGCATGCTGCCTGGGCGTGCAAGTTAGACGAGAGAAGGAGAGGCAGCAGGGAACGCACTTTCGAGCACAGGCCGTGATAAGATTTCATAGCGAGGGTTTTGCCAGGAGAAGTAACCGTCAAGAAGCATTCGCTGCTCCTCTGAGGTGGGAGGGGCGAACTTGGGCTC